TGTGTATTCAAATAATTAAGTGTAGGCATATGTTATTATGTCCTTGAAATCTGTAAATTATTGTTTGGATCACAAGTTTTGAGAGTGAAATTTAACTTTTGGAAAGTTTGGGTACTAAGTTTCGAAATTTGGGACGGACCAAACTTGGATGATTATGAAGGTTCAAGGACCAATATGAAAGCTTTTGGAAGTGGCAGAATCAAATATTCCTGTTAAGGGTTTTTTATTTTTATTGAATTGGATAAAACTATTGGGTTTACTTCCACTTCTTCGATCAGTTCTTGGCTTATTCAAAATTAATGAGTTTTTTTTTTTTTAATTTTGTCTTCATTTTTGTCTACATCAATTAGGTGTGTCGTGTGTATCTGGAAGTCCTTTGCGAATTGGTCTCGAGTATTGAATTTGATTGAATAAAATTATATTGACAAGTTTTTAATCTCCTTTTTCTCATTTAATACAGACAATTTAATCCTTTTCAATTTACCTTAATTAAGAAAACAATCAATAAATAAAATTATCTCATTAATCAAAGAATAATGCTACTTGCAGTCGCTCACTGCAGCAGTCGTCCTATGTGTCACACACATGTCAAGTGTGTATTTGATACATTAAATGTGGTAAAAAACTACCACATTAATGCATCAAATAACTACATACCATGTGTGTGCCACATAGGGCGACTGCTGCAGTGAGCGACTGCAAGTAGCATTACCCTTAATCAAATTGTGGTCCTTGTTCTGTTCGAAGAAGAAAGGTCTCGTTGAAATATCTTATGACGATTGAGACACGCAAGGTTGGTTTGAAATTTCATCATATGCAGAAATATCTTAATTGTCTGGTTTCACACTTTCAATATAAAATAAAATTTTATCATAAATAAATTTGTCGGCCGAGAAAGAAGTATTTTTGAAATGATATGATGGGCATTGGTGCGTGGATTTTCCATATCAAATAGGTTTTAAATTATTAGAACGATATACATACACACATACTGGAAATATAGCACTAAGCATTCTCTCCATATGTATATTACAAACACGATATACAGCAATGAGTTCTTGGAAATGGCTGCCTAATTTTATTTTCTTAATCTGTCTGATAAACCTTGTCGCTATTGTCAAATCCCAGTTCCCAACTGAAATTTTTATTCATTATAGTTGTCCAGACAATGGTACTAGGTACACAAGAAATAGCTCCTACGAAAGAAACCTTAATACTTCCCTCTCCTCCGTTCCGCCAAATATTGACGCCAATGGATTCTACAACGCCTCTACGGGAGAAAATCCTGATAGAGTCAACATCATTGCGCTCTGTAGAGCTGATCTTCAGCCTTCTCAGTGTCGTGATTATGTGGAAAGTGCTACGGCCGAAATCTTAAAGAGGTGTCCAAATAAAAAACAGGCAACCTTATGGCACGAATTTTGTATGGTACGATATTCCGACGAGGCTATCTTTGGAACTCTTGCAAATTCCCCAATGATATCGGCTCATAGTGGGGAAAATGTTACAAATACAGACGTTTTTTACTGGGAGTTGGACGTACTGTTGAACAGCCTTCACGACCATGCCGCTTTTAATAGCTCGCCGAAGAAGTTTGCTGCGGCCACTCGGGATGTGGATGATCGGAATCGTCCGTTAATTTCCGCATTTGAACAGTGCACATCTGATATAACCTCGGAGGAATGTGGNTCGAATCATCCGTTAATTTCTGCATTTGAACAGTGCACTCCTGATATAACCTCGGAGGAATGTGGTGATTGCTTAAACAAATCTGCCCAACAGATTCGAGAATGCTGTGATGGTGCACGAGGAGTTAGAATCCTTAGTCCTAGTTGCTATCTTCGTTTCGAAACTGATCCGGATCCATTCTACAACGTATCGATGGTTGAAACGGTATTCCAGCCACCAACGCCACCAATGCCACCGCCACCGTCACCGCAGCCGTCGGGTAAGGACTCTGTCTACAGAATCAATTTTTTTGGGCAAGAGATATTTTCCGATGATAATAGGACCATTTGTTACCACGTTATTATCCTAATAATTAGTTAGTAGTGGATGGTTTCTATCATTTTAGATTGATTAAGCTAATATAACAAAAGATTGAGGACCAACTTACTCAATTTTAAAGCTTGAGTTGCTTAATTAATGATTTTTAAGAATAAAGTCAATATGTCTAAATTCATTAGTTTGGCAAATTAAAACAGGCTATCATTTGAGAAGAATTTATAAACGGCTAAATTATAAATAAATAGAAATGACTGATGGATAATTGAATAATGCTGATAGGTCATTTTAAAAAAAAAAAATTCTTTATTTATAAATGATTAGTTTTCTAAACGTGCTCTTGTGTTGTATGATACAAAAAAAGATTTTATAATTAAAAAAAACACTTTCTTTTTTTCAAATTTAAGATCTTTCTGTGTTGAGTGATTTTATTTTTTTTATATTCAAAAACATTTTTATATAATACAATCTTAGTTACTACGTCATTGATACTTACAATTATGATATCATAGTCATAACTGTAGATAATTTATTTTTTTTATATTCAATAACATTTAAATTTTAGTGTTGTCAAGTTAAAATATATAGTGTCATATGACACAATAAAAATAGCTTACTTCATTTCAATTATTTCCATCCTTTAGTCTAAATCTCTCAACAGAGAGCATCAATTTAAAAAGTTTCATTCCTTTCAGCCATGCAATAGCAAAGAGTTTCAAAATTAAAAATTGTAATAGAATCACTAAGTTTCATGTGTTAAATAATAATTGTAT